GTGAGCTTGCTTTTAATTCTATTGATTAATAAATATTCTTTATACTTACTAAGTTAATATAAATAAAATGAATTTAAACATAATAGTAAATAAGTATTTATGTTTTTAATTTGTGAACTTGTTTTTAATTCCATTGATTAATAATATTCTTTATACTCTCTGACTAAATTAATATAAATAAAAGAATTTAAATATAATAGTAAATAAGTATTATGTTCTTGATTTGTGAACTTGTTTTTAATTCTATTGATTAATAAGTTCTTTATACTCACCGACTAGATTAATGTGAATGAAAGAATTTAAATGTAATGGTAAATAAGTATTTATGTTCTTGATTTGTGAACTTGGTTTTAATTCCATTGATTAATAAATGTTCTTTATACTTACTAACTAAGTTAATGTGAATAAAATGAATTTAAACATAATGGTAAATAAGTATTTATATTCTTGATTTATGAGCTTGTTTTTAATTCTATTGATTAATAAATGTTCTTTATACTTACTAATTAAGTTAATGCAAATAAAATGAATTTAAATATAATAGTAAATAAGTATTTATGTTCTTGATTTGTAAACTTGTTTTTAATTCTATTTATTTTTATTTTTTTTATCAGTTTTTTTAAATATTAATAATTTTTTTTTGTAGCACTAGATATTTTGTCTCCATCATTTGGTTGAAGTCACTATTTGCTGAATTTGTTGTTCATTGAAGTCATCATTAGAGTCATCACGGTAAACTTCTATATCTTTTTACAATAAGTTCTCTATGTGTTTTATAGTAGCCTTTGCCATTTTGCAAGAATGCGAAATTGGCAAAATTTAAACTTTGTCAAAACAGAGTTTAAAACTCTGCCAATTCGCATTTTTGCAAAATAGTAAAAGTCACTGTAAAACACGTAGAGAACTCACCGTAAAATAACGTAGAGAACTCACCATGAATTGACATAGAGAACTCAATATGGAATGACGTAGAAGTTCACTGTGATAATGACTCCAACGAACAACAAATTCAGCAAATAGCAACTTCACCAAAGATAGAGATAAAATATCTAGTGCTACAAAAAAAAATTATTATTATTTAAAAAACCCTATAAAAAAATAAAAGCAAAAAAAATATAAAAACAAGTTTACAAATCAAGAACATAAATTCTTATTTATTATCTCTATAATAAAAGTAGTACAGGTTGTAGTATGGGTTGGTTTTGGGAATGTACAGAGTGGCACAGATTGTGTGGCATGCACAGGCAACATTTTACAGAATGGCACGGTGAAAATGGCATAAACATTTTAGCAAGGAGTAGCACATTATATAATGTTATACAGAACAACACATTCAAATGACACTAATGTATATACTGCACATGTGTTGGCTCATTTCGTGGAGAGCGAAAGATTAATAAATGATTTTTTTTAAAAAAGTGCAATATCTTATAATTTTACTGATAAAGCTGCTCTAAGTATCTTAACAAAAAAGATTCTTTACAAAATTTTACTTTATATATAGTTAGTTTGTTTATATTATATCAGTTATCCGACATGTTGTATGAAATTGATCTACTATAAATTTCTAAAAAAATTTTTAATTATTAATAAATGTTTTTCTCTAAGATAATTTAATTCTATTAGCATATATATTTTTTTACAAACAAAGTTGTTTTACATGTCTTATGCTACAAGTTAATAGTTTACTTGGCTTTATTTAAGTAATAGTTTATTAAATAACTGGTACTTTAGAAATTGTAAACATTTTCAACTTTTTTTTAAGATTATTTTCAAATATATATGAAAGTGAGTAAAAAGTAGTTATAAAGATTTAGACAAGCATAAGCTTGAAGAAAATATATACTTTACTAGATATTACTTCACAGGTTTGGGAGAAAATAATACATAAAAAAAAAATTCATATATAAGATAAGACTTTGTAAAAGTTTATTTCAAATAAATATATATAAAACAAAGCTAATAATTTATTACAATTTGCTTTTTTTTATAAATAATATTGAGAATTTCAATAACAAGTTTATTTTACAAGTATTTTATTAAATCCACTACAGTTTATTCAATATCTTGTTTTTGCTTCTTATTTTGAGTAACTTTTTTTCCAAGAAGTAAAGGTATAACATTCTTTGCTATTCATCCTTTTGCAATACGTTTTTCTATTTTTAAAATATTTTGTTTAATAACTTTTGAAATTCTCTCTTTTTCTTTATCATAACAGGTAAAAATATTTTTATATTCACTAGGTGTTAGCTGGTTAGAAATTTCAAATAGTGGGTGCTTTTTGGGTTATCAGAAGAAATAGCTTCAAAAAAGGTATTTACTAGCACCCATAATGCTTCTTTATAATCAATTTTTACATGTTTGGTTTTACTTATGCAACTGTCAGTTACAAATTCTGTATATAATGCCATTAACTGATCTTTTTTATCTTGTGCTGCTTTAATTACTAGTTTTAAGTTTTCTGGGTCAGTTGGACATTTAATTATATTTTGTTTAATAAATTTTATACTGAAATACTCAAGTGCTTCATCAAATCTAAAGAAACTTTTATTCGCTATAAGATTTATTGATCCAACTACTTGAAGTTTTGCTTTTAGTATTAGATTTGTTTCTACTATCATTAAAAAGCATGGTACTAATTCCACATATCTTTTTTTCCCAGCAACAGTAAATAATGGAGCAAAGGCTTTTAAATTTTCATATTGAGCTTCAAAATTACCTACTCAGATACCAATTTTATGAAGTTTTAGCAAGCTTGCTCATTGATAATATAGAGTCCAAACTTTAAGAACATTGTTATTTCTATTTTTAATGTTAGTAAGTGTTATGCAATGCTTGTGTATATATATATTAATAGCAATTGCTACAGCTGCCCAAATAAGCTCAAGAACATAAAATGTTGCTCGATAATCAACAACATTTTGAAGTTTATCTAGAAACTTTGTATCAAGTTTAGATACTAATCCAAATAACCCATATCTAGAAAATACAAAAATTAAAACACTATACATATCTTTGTTTGTATGCTACTAACCAAGAATTGGGTTTAGTTTTAGTTGGTTATTGAAATAATCTTCAAGTTGATGAAAAATAGCTTCATCACAAGCTATATCTTTAAAATTATCTCTAGGTCTTTTATATATATTTTACAAGTTTTATATACTGTGTTATTGTAATTTGGTTCTGGTCTGGCTTCTAAAATAACAACATTTGGTAGTGAAACTTTGTATTTTCCTTCTATTTTTTTTTTAAGCGCAATATTTATTTTGTCTATGGCAAAATCTATTGAGTATCACAGATTGAATGTCTAAATATCAAGTACATATTGGGAAAAAATTTTCTGATATGTACTCGATATCAATCTTACATCCACCAATTTTAGGTAAGATATCAGGATACTAAAGGGTAAGTAATAGTAGTATATCAGCATGTAAATGCATATTGGTAAGATATCAGTAAGATATCAAATATATAATAGAATTCCTAATATCTAACTGTTATATACTATATCATAACAGTAAGATATTAGGAAGTTCTATTATGTACTCAATATCTTACTGATATCTTACTGATATGCATTTACATGCCAATATACTACTGTTACTTACCTTTTAATATTCTGATATCCTACCTAAAATTGGTGGATGTAAGATCGATATCGGGTATATTTCAGAAAATTTTTTCCTAATATATACCTGATATTTAGGCATTCAACCTGTGTATTCTGTTAACAACTGCTCAAAAATTTGTGTAAGTTTTTCTATTCACTATTCAGTAAATAGATTTTTTCTACACAGGTTTTTGTCAAGCATATTTAAAATTGAAGGTGGTATATTTAGATTAGGTATTTTAAACTAAAAAACTATACACAAGATAGCATGAGCTGTATCTTATATATCATCAAACAGATTACTAGCTCTAAATATTTTTTCTTTAAAATTAATATTATCTATTACAGCCAAGTTCCAAATATTTGGCCCTGATTTTAATCTTTTTTGTATATTTGCTTTTAATAATCGTGTTTTTTGCATTTTTACTTCATAATCTTTAGAGTATATTACGATATTTACAGATCAAAGAATAGCTCGTAAATATGTTGCAAGCTTTGGACGTTCACAAAAAGATCTAATTCTTTGTGAAAGCCAAAATTTCCAACTTTTGAATGCAAGCATTAAGATGATAGAAGATATAAAGCAGTGATTTTTACTACTACATTTTTATTAAAATCAGATGCTACACTTTTGCACTCTTTTTGTTTTTGTTTAACAATTTCATGCTTTTGGAGCTGCAAAGTAAGAACTAAACTATTGAAAAAACTAGTTAAACAGTTTGGCATTGCTTCATAGTACTGTTGTAAAAACTCAGGATTCTCTAATGATGATTTATAAGAAGATAAGAAAGCACATAAATTAAAAACATTAAGGGCAAGTAATTTTCCAAATTCTTTATATTTTTTGGAATTTAGTGTGAATTGGTTTATTTGTTTAGAAAAATCTAACCTTTTAATTTTTAAAGCTGTATTAACTACAAATAGGCTAGGCATACTATCTATCTATATAGGTAATAAATCAAAATCAAGATTTGTTAAGTATGAAAAGAGAGTTTGAAGTAAATAGTCCTTAGTGCTATTATTTTTTGATTGTGCTACCATTTCAATTAGCCTTGCAAAGTAATAAAAGGCAGTCATGATATCATCGAAATATATTATAGTGCATCCAATATCCTTAATTCCTGTGCCTAGGCGTATATACAAATGCCTTTCATTCTTTCATAACATTAACAGCTCACATAACGAATACCTCATGAATTTTCAGTATTTTCAGTATTCGAGCTTCCTTTAATAGCTGAACAAAAAACCATTCCATGGCAAGATGCTTGTAATGTTTAATTAAATATAATCAATGTATACTTTATACAACTTGCTCCATAAATAAAGAAAGCTTTTTTTTTATTACAGAAAAACAAATATGGCAATTGAAATAGCTTTTTCTAGTTGAATGTTAACCTTTCAACTTTTTACTATGCACTGTATTTTGATTGTAATTAAAGTGTCTCAAACATACTCCAAGAAGATAAAGTTTTTTATTAACTTTACTAATAGCATCTATATCAATTTTCCAGATACCAATAAGTTCTTGCAATCTCTTCTTACTAGTTCTATTATAGTGACCTATATCTCTATGATTATTGTTGATTATAATGCATAGTGTAATTGGCTTTGCTTTAATCTCAGGAATCTCTTTAGTATATTCACTGCCAGTTTCTTCATAGCTTGCCTCCTCCAAAATTATTATATTCTCCATATTAAGCTCTTTCCATGGGTCATCTTCATATTCAGCTAAGTCTAAGGCTTGTTTATATAAGTTTTGCTCAAAGTTAAATGCTGGCTTACAATTATTTTCATTATCAGATAAAACAGGGTTTGGATATCTTCTAAATGCTCTTGTAATTCGTTCTGATCAAATTAAGAAGAAAAGACTTTTTGCAAATTTTGTGGGGAATCAAACCTCATTTTTTGATGATAATAATTAAAAAAAAGATAAGAATTTTAATTAATCGTTGTTTTATCTATTATCTGTTATGTTAAAAAAACAAACTGGTGAAATATAGGGCCTTTTATTAATTTTAGATTTCTTTAAATTTATATGAAAAATCCAGGCTACTCATCATATACTAAAGCCAGTATCAGATGATAACAATATTATAGTATCATATTATATAGAATCATGTTATATTTTTAGTTATCTGTTATTATATAACACTATCGTATAGTATTGTCATAAGTTATTGTTCCAGTTACTGCCTAGGGGATTATAGTTTTATCATATGGAGAGTTGCCAGTAGAAACCAAGCAAATCGATTTTAGTGAGTTTTTTTAAAATTTTAAATCAAAATATCTCAACAACTATTAAACCAAACTTTATAAATTTTTTTTTATTTTAATTCTATAACTATATAAAATTAAAATAAAAAAAATTTTATCAAGTTTGGTTTGATGGTTGTTGAGATATTTTATTTTAAAGTTTTAAAAAATTTTACTTAGAAACAATTTGCTTGGTTTCTACTGGCACCCCCCATATATGAAAGCCAGTGTCAGATGATAACAATATTATAATTTCATATGATATAGAATCATATTATATTATCTGTTATCTGTTATTATATGACACTATCATATGATATTATCTTCTACAATATCATGTTACTACTGATATTTAGAGCTTGGGAATATCTTGAACAAAATTAGGTTCAATTATAGATAATTAACTGTTAATCTCAGATTATTTTTAAAAAATGTGCAACTTATAATGCTAACATGATTACTCAAAATATCATATGGTCTGTGATAAATTCCAAAAAATATAAAACTACTCAAAACTATTATTGAATCATATAAAGTTTAGTTTTTCTGTGATTTACTTTACATTATATTGATTAAAGACATAAACCTTTATTATGAATATGTAAAATAATTTTTATTTAATTAAAACAAAAAAATAAGAAATAATTACAGAATTAAAATAAAAATAAATTTAAGCAATAAAATTCATGCCTTAAAAATAATAAATAAAAATATACAAAATCTAATCCCTAATCTTAATCTATATTTAATTCTAATTTTAACTATTTGCTATTAAAACTAATCTTAACTAAAATTCGCAATGTTCATATATACTTGTAGTGAATTCAGAGCAACCAAAAAGAAAATTTATCCACAAGCTTTATAAAAAAGAGTTTTTCTTCTAGATCTTGAAAATTAAAAACCTAATTAGCCATAGTGTTAAGAGCACATACCAGGTATACTGAAAATAATATATAAACTTTAAAATTCAACCAGTTACAATACCAGCATTATACAATTAGACCTTTCTAAGTGCATACATTCTCTAAATGCATGCTCAAGTGCTGGTTTAAATGTATACTTGACCTTCTTTTTATATTATTCTTTATATCTGTTATTAAAGCATGGTTCTAAGTATGTGCACTTAGAGAGACCTAATCATAATATCAGTAGCAAGTAGTGCTAATAATAGCACAGACACTAAAATCGTACTTATTCTTTTGATCATGTACACCGAAGAGTTATGGTCACAAAAATCAGCAACAAAAGTGTTCAGAAGGCCTAACAAATCTGTAAAAAGGTGTAGTAGACTATTATTAGTAGTTAGCAAAATATATATTTAAACTCAAACTTCAAGCTTAAGATTATTTTCATCTGTGTTTTTAACTATAGACAAAATTTGAGCTGTTAGTTGTAGTAAGCCATGAGAATGTTATAGCTAAATAAGAGTTATATGTGATATTTCTGTAATCTGCAAATCTAAAAAAACTAAAAATTTTATGAATTTTTACTATGTGTTGATCAATTTTTTTTTTATAAGTGTGCAAATATAATAATGATCATCTCTGATATGTTAGCTGACTAATATTAATTACTAATATTAACATGTTTGTTATTTGTTATTGTGGTGGTACATGAATTTATATATCATTACCTATACCAAATCCTGTACCAATTTGACTAATAAACTGCTGCAAAACCCATACTATTTACAGTTTAATTGGCATGTGCATATGGTCCTACATAAACCACTGAATCGGTACTAGCTCAGACAATACCCATATAAATCTAGATCTTGACCCATGCTACAAAGGCCCGTGTCTATCTGAAACCAACCCATACTGATCTAAACTATTTTCTCATAGAGCCATTACGTTTAAATTCATTTTATTTGCATTAACTTAATTAGTGAGTATAAAGAATATTTATTAATCAATAGAATTAAAAACAAGCTTATAAAAATACTTATTATGTTTAAATTCATTTTATTCACATTAACTTAGTTAGTAAGTATAAAGAACATTTATTAATTAATGGAATTAAAAACAAGCTTACAAATCAAGAACATAAATACTTATTTACTATTATGTTTAAATTCTTTCATTTACTTTAATTTAGTTGGTAAGTATAAAGAACTTATTAATTAATAGAATTAAAAACAAGTTCACAAATCAAGAACATAATACTTATTTACTATTATGTTTAAATTTTTTTATTCACATTAATTTAGTTGGAGTATAAAGAACATTATTAATCAATAGAATTAAAAACAAGTTCACAAATTAAGAATATAAATACTTATTTACTATTACATTTAAATTTGTTTTATTTGTATTAACTTAGTGAATATAAAAACATTTATTAATCAATGGAATTAAAAACAAGCTCACAAATCAAGAACATAAATACTTATTTATCATTATATTTAAATTCTTTTATTTATATTAATTTAGTCAGTGAGTTTAAACATTTATTAATCAATAGAATTAAAAACAAGTTTACAAATCAAGAATATAAATACTTATTTATCATTACATTTAAATTCTTTTATTCACATTAATTTAGTTGGTAAGTATAAAGAAAATTTATTAATCAATGAAATTAAAAACAAATTTACAAATCAAGAATATAAATACTTATTTACCATTACATTTAAATTTATTTTATCGCATTAACTTAATTAGTGAGTATAAAGAACATTTATTAATCAATAGAATTAAAAACAAGCTCATAAATCAAGAACATAAATATATACTTATTTACTATTAAATTTAAATTCTTTCATTCACATTAATTTAGTCAGTTATTAATCAATAGAATTAAAACAAGTCACAAATCAAGAACATAAATACTTATTTACCATTATGTTTAAATTCTTTCATTTAGTCAGTGAGTATAAAGAAAATTTATTAATTAGGAATTAAAACCAAGTTCACAAATCAAGAACATAAATACTTATTTACTACTATGTTTAAATTCTTTTATATGCATTAATTTGTCAGTGAGTATAAAGAAATTTATTAATTAATAAAATTAAAAACAAGTTCACAAATCAAGAACATAAATACTTATTTACTATTACATTTAAATTTATTTTATTCACATTAACTTAATTAGTAAATATAAAGAATATTTATTAATCAAAAGAATTAAAAATAAGCTTATAAATCAAGAATATAAATACTTATTTGCTTTTACATTTAAATTCTTTTATTTATATTAATTTTTTTTTTTTTTTTGGTTTTAAAGTGAGGTCTTGCTTATATCTTTATTAGATAATTTATATAAGTAATTATATAAAAACTATATAACGACTTAATTTGTATACAAATAGATAAATATAAATTACATGTAAGAATAGAAGCTCAGACTGATTTATCCGTAACCTAAACCTACTAGAGTGGTTAAGACTCACCTAGATTTGAATAGTTAAAATATGATTAATAGGTATGTTATATTTAATCCATGTAGTGAACCAAAAATTGTGTTTAAGAAAAGCTTGTCCTAATAGAGGGCATGTGTTAGAGTTAGAGTATAGCTAGTCAGCATAGCCACAGAGGCAACTGAATGTATAGATAATTCTGTTTCTGTGGTTTCAAGAGAGTAAAGAGGGCTGAGATATAGTATTGATATATAATGAAATTTGATGAACTTTTTTCAAGTATGAAAAGTTGTAGCAATAGGGGATTTAGATATTATTATAGAGTTGAACAGAAATTTTTAAAAGTATTTTGATTATAAGTTGGGAGGCTTGGAAGTAGGAAATTTCGAAGGAGTCTAGTGATTAGATTAAAGCAGTGGGTATGAGACCTTTAAGTATGGAATCAAGAGTATAGAAGTATAGCTGTGATGGAGAGAAGTTGAAGGAAGGGTGTGAAGTAATAGTGTATATTAGGTTATTTAGTTGGTATATTGTAAGGTTGAGATTAGTGTTGGAGATGATATCATAAATTGAGGTGTTAATAGTTTGAGTTAAGAGTATATTGTCAGAACAGGTGTACTAGTAAGAGAGAGTATCAGGCTGGTTGTATAAAAAACAATTAGAAGATGTAAATATAAGGAGATAAATAGAGTGAAAATATACATGTGTTGAAAGAATATTAAAAAGTATTTTGATTTTAAAAGATTTTAGATTGTTTAATTTAGGGTTGGTGAAGTTGTGTGATACTTTTTGATTGTTGTTAAAGTATAGTCAAGAGGATTTCTAGTCAATTAGATGAGAGAAGTGAGACTATTCATAGGCATGATATTGTGAGGACTATAGAGCAATATTTTGGGCTTTTCGAATTGATTTAATAAATTGTCTAGTAGGGCTTTCAACAGAGCTATTGTTCTATTGCAGAATGGAGAATGGGTTGTAAAGATTAATATAGTTAAAGTATAGAATTGGTGAGATAGAGTAGTTATTTGCTAGTAAGTCAGCGAGATTATTAAAAGGGTTGTCAGAATGGGCTTGAACTTTGTAGAAGAATAGTTGGATGTTGTAGGCTTTGAGAATATTGAGAAGTATGTGCCAGATAGGCCAGGCATTAAATTTGAATTGTTTTGGTGAATAGGATAATAAAGTTTGAAGTTTGTTGTATTTAGAGATAACAGATTGTAAATCAGTGAAGATTTTTATAGTTAAGTTGCAAGGAAGTGTAGAAATAGCTAAGGTTATTGCTAATATT